CGAACTGGCTGCCGAGATAGGTCGATCTTCCACTCAGCCATCGATATGTAAATAAGCAATGGAAAATAAGGCAAACAAATTTTGGTATTATTTTCCATTTAAAAGTGAAATAAAGCAAATTTTGCGTTATTGCCGCACGAAAAAACCAACTCAGCATTATCATGAGTTTCATTTGCCCCGAATCGGTTCCGTTTTCACTCTTGCTTTCCATGGTTTTACTATGGGCGGTTGACAAATTTTCGGGTGAACTCTTTTTCAGGCGAAACTCAGGATAAGAAAGATTGTAAAGTCAAAATTATCGTATGTTACAAAAACCATACTTTACAGGAAAGTATTTTTTGTATTTTTTTACCAAAGTTTAAATTTGCTGAGACAATTGAGAAATATAACTAAACGCAAGATTTTTTTTTGCAGAAAGGTCTCTACATTCTAATTTCCTAGCACATATGTATGATAATTTCGCCCCCAAGAAAAATATCATTGTCATATACGATAAAAATGACAGAAAAGTTTTGAGGTAGCTATTGGGTTTTAAGCCGTAATATTTGAACAGGGATGCGTTATGGGTTGTAAAACAAACTTGCATCAAAAAGTGAATTTCGTAAAAAATTTAACATACGATAATTTTGCGCAAAGGGGTCGATATGTTTACAATAGTAAATTTTTCATTTATTCCATTCAATTTGATTTACTGTTTTCATACTTACGAAAATTTTCGGTCTTCCAAAAGGGCGTCCCGGCATTTTGATTCGCCCAATATGTTCCTTACTTCAGCATCTTCATTGCAGCTTCTAATTCTTAATGTCATGTTAGCGGAAAGTATTTTAGATTCGTCTGTCCCACAATCATTGAACAGAAGTGTGTGTCTTTTTTTGGGCGATGGTAAGCTTGGTGTTAAATTCGCAGTAGGCCTCTTATTAGTTACTGAATTGAAAATTGGGCTCAATAGCAACGTATTTTCAATAACAGCGCTGATTATAGGTTTCAATCCCGACTCATCAAGGTTTCCGGTTTCCTAAAATTGTACTTTATTCACTTTATTATATACGATGTTTTTAATATTTGTTGTGGTTACATTATTTTGATGTGATTCTATGTTTTCAAACCGTTTTTCATCTGGCTCGTTTTCCTTTTCTTTAAATTGATTTTGGCTTTTCCCGCGTATAATTTCATTTTGAATCAAGGAATGGTTGGCTTCATTACAACGTATCTCATTTCGGCATGCATCGAAAAGTTTTAGTTTTGGATGTTGTTGTACACTTGCTTTAGCATTTGTCTCGCAAACTAATTGGTCTTGTTCAAATTCTCTTTCTAAATCTTCAAACTCTAGAAAAGAACGATGTGGAGTGCCTTCAATTATAGGTTTGCGGTGACTTGATAATGCTGCCTTTGCTTCTTGTAAGTTTACTATGAACGAGTCACTGCTACTATTGAATATCTCTGCACCTATTTGTCGCCGTAAAATTTTTTTGGAAACAATCATGGGTTTGCGATGTAGTGTGAATTTTAACTCATGAATCATGTTTTCTACTTTTTCCTGTGTATTATGACTATACTCAATCTTAGTCGCAGACAGGGAGTCTATCTCTTGATCAAAATATATAGTTTTCCTCCCATACGAACTATTGTCGTTTATTACAAATATTTCTGGTTCAATGCGTTTTGGCGAAATAATCGCCGATATTTCCTTATCTGTGTTATTTAAACTCATATCTACAATTTCATATATTGTTCTTCCAACGGAGTCACATTTATCAACGTTCTGTTGGCATGGTGTAAGTTCAATTGGGCTCAAATCATCGGTTTGCATGGAACTGTGATTAGAGGTCAAGCTTGAATTAAATAAAGTAATGTTATTTACGTTTTTAGTTACACATTCAACTTCTGACTCTATTATGGTTGGATTTACATGCGTCACTGTAGGGGAAAACGTATGCATTTCGGAGTTGAAATGAATAGTGTCCCTCCTGTATTTATCATTGATTTTCATAATGCTGTCTAACACCTTTGCTTTTACAAAAAAACTAGCGCTATCTGCCAGCATAAAAGAATTTTCATGTTTACTAACATCAAATTCAGAAATTTCGCTTGGTTTCAGTTCAGCCGATGAGTTATTAATCTGACTTTTCCCGAGGTTTGATATATTCTTTTCCTCCCGTATTTCATTATTATTGGGCTTAAATCCCACATTTTTATTAGAGACTAAGCAAGCTCCAACCTCTACATTGTCGACATTTTTGTTAGGAAACACTACAATTTTTCCATCTCCAATTTCAGCATTCAATTGGCGTAGATTCAGTTTCTTACACTTAACTGGAGGAAACAAAGGCGAATTGTAGCTCATACTGGATGATAAATTGCACTGTGAACTGTTAAAATCCACATTAAGTCCTACATTCGTAAAGGAAGTAACATTTAGGCAACGATAATCGTACTTCAATGTAGCGTGCTTTAGAGGAACTATTTTTGGGTTATATGTTTTTTTTGCCAATGAGTTATTTTTAGATTGCTCGTGTTTAAACAAATCCTCATCATTATTGCTTTCGGGTACGCTTGAATTATTTAGACCTAATAAGAGAAGAATAAATAATTAAAATCTTGAATGGGAACCAAATTATTTATACTGACTATTAGAGCATGCGGTGATCTTTAATAATCCTGCACAATTAAAGGAGTCATCAATATGTATAGAAATATCCATGGGCATGGCTATATTGTTAAATCGAACTCTTTCCGCTTCGATCGTTCTTTCAGAAGTAATTGCTGGAAGCTTACTGCTAAAGCTTGGAGTGATTTCTTGGACACCATGCTCAATCTTCTTTTCCACACTTGCATTTTTTTTATCTCCGACACAGTCTTCATATTTGGTTATGTCCATTTCTGTGGACTGAAGTAAACTTAACTTCTTTCGCTTAGCATTGCTACTATTATGATCGACTGAGATGTCATCATTTCCATAGTATGTGATCGCCTCAGCTGATTTACTTTCAATAATTTCCTGTGAATATATACATATTTAAACTAGAGTGGATCTTCGTTGTATGGGAAAAAATTAGTGTTCAAATTCCTGGTCCCGCCCCAAAGAAATACACTTCCACTCGCAGAATAACTATAATAATAACAGATTGCCGCTAACACAATATGTTAGCGTGTGGCCGAGCTTATCCTCCTATTTGTGGCGTGCGCCTTGATATTTTTACACAACATCAATGGTTTTCGTGGCAGAAATACACTCGGAGGTTTTCTATTGCCTGCAGGGTTACAACTGCGGCAAGCCCAAATCGGAGTAAATGAGGTGAAAAATCGTAGCAGATAATTCCATAGTATTTTTTTAATACATCGTTCGGTTTCTGGTAGATCGTCATAATCAAAAAATGCTATTGTTAGTGAAGTATCAAAAATTGTGGCGTACCCTTCTTTTATATTGTAACAAAATGCATCACATATCCTTCAATTGTATCCCTGCAACTTTACATTTTTATACTCAGCTTAGCATCTACGTATAATTAGAAGGCTTAGTTACTAAGTGGGGGTGTAGAGCAGGCGGCCTCTGCGTATTGAACCCTGAATAACGGTAAATGGCCTGTGGCCTTCATAGCCTTCAACCTGAACGGTTGGCTTCTAACTGACTACGATATGGAATATAATTTGGACTTGTTGATCCTTAGGCTGATGGCTGCGGTATTCTGTGACCTGAGTATGCTGGGGTGACACGCAACAGAAATGGCTGGTGGGATGAGGCCCTGACTGTCTCCGACCCGTTAAAACTGTGGCAGGCCTCAGAGTACGTTCCAACTCCCGTCGCGCGCGTCCAGAGTACGTCCCAACCCTGGCTATAGTCTCGCAAGAGGTAGCTATGGGACCATTAAAGGCGACTACACGCTCGAGTTTTGGATAGTGGCTCTGAGTGGGGACCCATGTAAAATAATAAAATAATAATAAAAAATTAAATAAACTAAAAACTCGAGCGATGGAGGGCCGGCCGAACCGACCACCAAAACCTGATCCACCCTCGGTGCGGTTTTAAACTCGGTGGGACAAGGCGGTGAGGACTGCACGGCCGCTGTCTCGCGTGCTGGAGGGGAGTCGAAATCTACCCATTCTCTGGATGGGGGTAGTGGCCTCTCGCCACAGCTGTTGGGAGTTTCGAGGACCCCCGGCTAGGGGTTTCATGGCAAGCCTACACGGCGTGCCACAGCGGCGAGAAAAGTGCACTGGGACCGTCCCATGGCTACCAAAATGTTGGAATGCTACGGTGGGCCGCAGGCTAAATAGGTCTGTGCGGCGCATGCTCGCACACTTGAGAGGGCGGGAGTCGACGCATAGCAGTGCGAACGCGTCGCAGGTAGTGCAGCTGCAAAGGTCACGGGAGAGGGAGATGCCGCTAAGGGAACGGCGATCCCGGTATTTTGCCATCTGAGTATGCTGGGGTGACACGCAGCAGAAAATGGTGGGCTAAGGCCGGAGGAAATCCTGCCGATACTGCACCCCCACTTTACGCAGGACTGGAAGGTTATCCGGCTCGAGCAGACCGAGGAACCATATCGGCAAGAACTGATCCTACTAAATGCGGAGTCCCTCGGTGCGCTGTGATAGCAAGGCGGCCACAAACTATGGCTTCGAGAGGGCGGTCCTCCCGACCGGAACCAGGGCTGATGAGCCACAACCTCCGGAGGCGTCGGAGGGTTGTAGAGAGGAAAGCGACCCCAAGATCATGGATGTCGACTCGGTACTATCGGATACTGAGAGCACTGGAGCCAGGTCCTTGGAGAATCCGTCCTCAGTCTCTAACGGCTGTTCGATAGGGCTGAGGAGGAGAATGGAGCTAGCGCTCGTGGAGAGAAACCTGGATGATAAAGGTCCTACAGATCAATCTTCAGCAGTCTAAGGCGGCTTTCGCCAATCTCTAGCTCCACCCTGACCAAGTAGGGCTGATGTCGCACAGTGGGAAATGACCGGAATTAATTCAAACTGTCGAAGATTTTCAAGGTGCAAATTAATTTAAAATTTTTACACGGATGGCTACTATTACTATATGACTTACAAAAAAACTAAGTCGAATAGGATTAATTTTGCTAGTAATTAGCTCGAGAATGAAGCCATAAAATTTATAAAAACATAATACGTAAGTTTTGAACCACTAATAAGTAATTTGAGCATTCGTCTTAAACTTTTATTTACGTTATAACATTTTCCGTTTAACTGAAAGGAGTTTCAAATTAAACGAAACCTTTTTCAAATTAAATAAAACCTTTTTCGGGTTAAGCGAAACTTTTTTCAAATTAAATGAAACCTTTTACAGACTAAATGAAATGTTTTTCAGATTCAATGAAACTTTATTCAAATTATATGAAACTTTTTTAAAATTAAATTAAACATTCTTCAGTTAAGTATTAAACTTTATTAAATTAAGGAACAGGAAATCAACTTAGCCTATTAAGAGCCGTTTGCACCATGTCTGGATAACACTTACCCCCCGTTACACATCGTTATCGACGCTATGCTTATAACAAGGTAACGATACCGCCGATTACGATGTTTAACTGGGAGTAAGTTTTAACCAGACATGATGCAAGCGGCGTTTATAGAATTATTGAAGAGGTGGTCCATTCGCCGCTCTCGGAATTTGAATGATCATGTCCATAACATATATAGTTCGCACAGTCATTTTGACTAATTTGTGCGATACTTTCTTCAATTACACTAACCATGTTGCGGTCAGTAGTTATATCACTTAATAATGATCGGGCATGAAGTTTTAGGCCCCAATTATGGTTCACAACTCAACTTGTAGACAACTCAGCTATTCATTGCTATTGCCGTTCACAACTGTTTTCAGTTGACTGTAGCCATTAAAAAGTCGGAAATTCGATGCAAATTTTGGAATTTTGGTAATTTTGGTTTAATAATATTATACTATTTTAATGATATTAAAATAATTAAAATCAAAATGGAAATTAGTTACGAATTATGTTTTACTGATGAGCCCGAGGATGCTGTTGGCAAACAACTGACATACAACTATGTTTTCAAAGTTGAGTTGAGTTGTGTCCCACAATACTAATTTACAACTCACAACTCAACTATCTTCAAAGTTGTGAATCATAATAGGGGCCTTAACTTCGAAAATGCCTTTTCTATGGGGTATAACATAGGGGAGTATGCTGGAAAAAATTTCGGTAAGAATCCATTATTATACTCCATATTTATGCATTCTGGCATTATCCTCGAGCCCCCTTACTTATATGCATGTGTTTATGAAATAGTAGTATGAAATGCTAGCTTAATAGTTTCGAGCCTCCTCTCTAAATTTCATTCTGGCTACGCCCATGGGACAACTTGCAAGAAAGGGGGCTCAAGCCACCTCCCTCTGGTTACGAACATGATCAGAGTTAAAAGATTCATTTTTAGTTAAGGATAATGCCAGAATTCGGAGGATGATTCCGTGCGCAGAAGTGGAAAACTTTTGACTGCCATTCGCCTGGGAGTGGCCAGAAGCGATTCTTGTGCGTACGGTTCAAACCGCAGCTCACAACGTCCGGATATTTATATCCACGTATCCTCTGGGTAGCAACCAAACACCCGTTTGGGAGCGAGCTAAAGTGAGAAGGCGTAAAACTTCGCGTGCGCTAGGTTTGGGTCCGCCACGTTAAAACCCCGCCCAATGAAAAACAAACAGCCTCGGATGAGATCCCGTTTCTGATGACGACCACGGCAAACGTATAAAGGACTATGATTTAAGGGTATGCACCTGTAATATCCTCTGCCCGGCTGGTTGATGTCCTCGGGAAGATAAAGGCTGACATCACCGCCATCCAAGAAATGCGATGGACGGGGCAAGGAAAAGTAAGCGTGAAGCCATGTGACGTCTACTACAGTTGCCCCGTAAAGGAGCGCAAATTCGGTGTTGGATTCGTGGTAGGAGAGACTCCGCCGTCGAGTACTGGCGTTCACCCCGGTGGACGATTCTTCAACATCTCGCTCATCTCTGCTCATGCCCCGACGGAAGAGAAGGATGAGGCGTCCAAGGATCTCTTCTATGAGCGCTTGGAACGTACATATGAGCGCTGCCCCCGACACGATGTCAAAGTTGTGCTTGGCGATTTTAATGCCAAGGTGGGCAAGGAAGGGACCTTTGGCGCCACTGTCGGAAAATTCAGCCTCCACGACGAAACGTCCGATAACGGACTGACGCTGATCGACTTCGCCAGGGCCCGAAACATGGTAATATGTAGTACTAGGTTACAGCATAAGAACATCCACCAAGCTACTTGGCTATCTCCAGATCGAAAAACGAGAAACCAAATCGATCATGTTGTGATAGATGGAAGGCATGCTTCAAGTGTTTTAGACGTACGTACACTCCGACGGCCAAACATCGACTCGGACCACTATCTTGTTGTAGCCAAGATACGCACCATCCTCTGTGCAGCAAAAAATGTGCGCCCAACAATGCAAGGAAAGCTTTACGTCGGAAAGCTGCAATCACAACAGACGGCAAATTTATTCGCCACTCGACTCACATACCTGCTCTCTGAGAGCACTCTTCAACAATCCGACATACGCGAGCAGTGGAACCACATTTCCCGATCATTAGGTACCGCCGCCGAAGAAGTAGTTGGATTTCAGCGAGCCCGAAAGAACAACTGGTACGATGAGGAATGTCAAGTAGCCGCAGAGAAAAGACGCCGCCTATAGGGCCACGCTGCGATCGGGCGCAACGCGAGCCATGTGGGACCGTTATAGGGAACTGAAGAAGGAAGCGCGACGTATTTGCCGCAATAAGAAGAGAGAGGCCGAAATACCTGAGTGCGAAGAGCTTGAGATGCTTGGCGACAGGAAGAACGCCCGAAAATTCTACCAGAGGGTTAGGCGACTTACGGAAGGTTTCAAGACCGGGGAGAACTCCTGTAAGAACAACAATGGCGACCTAGTGAGCGATGTCCAGAAGATACTTAAATTGTGGAGGGAGCACTTTTGCAACCTACTGAATTGTAGCAGCGCTGAAAGTAGTGAAGGA